CATCTCATACAACCGGGCTGCTCCCCTACTAAAATTTTCCAAAGCCACATGTTACACATTTCTTTCCTCTGCCATGCTCCCAGCTGTTTTGTGCTGTTTTGATCTGTCTGTTTGCATAGCGCTGTCAGACTATATGCATGAAAGGTGCATTGTTGATATGAATGGTTTTGAAAATGTTTCTGTGAAGAGCCTACCTTGATTATTGGCAGTGGGGGAGGGAGTTTGAGCCCCAAAAGTGGAGATCAGAGACTCCTACTTGAATCTTTGCCAAAGGGGGACAAAAAAACCCCATTAAAACATGATTAGGATCTCTACCCATATAAAGGATATGGGAGTTTCTGCAAAAAAAAGAAGAAATAATAATAGGCAGTAGCAACACTTGAAGAGGTGGGATCTTACCATAGAACAAAAGGGCTTAAAAATGTTTTTTTAAATAGGGAGGTGCTTCCAGGCAAGGCTCAGGTTAATATAATTGTTAGCTTTTTTTTTTTTAGTCACTAAGTACAAGAAACCCAACCAGAACTAGCACCTTGAAGAAGAGCATTTGGCGGTCCCACTCACAGCGATCTGGAATTCTGCATGGAATACACTGTCCTTCACATCGCCCATCAAATTAGCCTGATATTAGGCTCTTGGATACAGGATAATTTAGGAATTCTTTTTCACTTAACCAGATAAGGAAACTCAAGGCTCAAGGCTCCTTAGCTGGACAATGGTGACAAAATACATGGGACTAAAAAAGGAAGACACACTAAGAAGACAGAAGCACTTTTGTGATAGAAAAGAACTTAAAAGATTCATTCCTAATAACCAATCTGTGACATTGATTACCTGCCCTTTACAACCACTTCTTCAAAGGATGAATTTGGTATTTCAGATTGGAAAAGCAGTTTAGCTTCTCGTTGTTTCTGTGATCTTTTCCCACCGAGCTTGCTGTGTTTGATTGTAGATGTTATAAAGACAAGCCTTGAGAACATGTGTGGCATTGCTGTTTAAAATCCAACTTGGGCCAAGATATGTGGATAAGATGTACTTTTTTCAGATTATTCCTTTTAATTCTCCAACAAAGATTGGTCCCAACTTTGCATGAACTCCTTATGTTATCCAAATATCTTTGCCAATCTTTTTGCATGCTATCTTTGGCCAGTGTTCTCCTTGAAAGATCACTGAAAAAATATGCTTTTTTGTTTGTTTAATATCTGAAGAAAAACTGAGGTTGGCTTTATCAGCCCAAGCATTTTTGGGTGACTAGGTCTCTTTCTGTGCCCTCCCCGCCTCCTACTCCTCCATGAAACTGGAGATGCACTGTGTTTCAACATATAGATTTACTTTGGATTAATTTTACTTAACTAATCAAAACATTATTTTATGGGCATTATTTGATACGTTAGTATCCTAGTGGAACTTTTATGTTGATATTTCCCCTTAGGAACAAGAAGAAATCATGTTTCCTCCAAAAAAAATACACTTTCGTAGACAAGCAACTGAGACTCTACGCTCTTAAATCTTTTATAATCCTGGTTTTCTTTAATCCAATTACTTAGCCCAGTCACAAAACAATACATACATATATTCAAAATATTCCTACCCCTTCTCAATATTCAAGTTCTGGAGTTTAGAGTTTTGTTTACTTTGTGTTTTGCCTCTGAATTCTCTAATTCCTGTGCTTTCTACTCCAAATAGCTGTAGGACTCCATTTAAATCCTATCAGATTCTCTTTACAGATGAAATAGGAACCCTGAGGTCATTTCTAGGCTAACCTACTACCTAATATGTGAAAATGTCCTCATCACACTTCCCCCTCCCAATTATTTTTAAACTAGGCTCTTCAAAGTAAACGCACGCACGCACACACACAGAGCCATAGAAGTAAAAATGCTAAAAGTTCTTTTTCTTCTTATCTTTCATAGGAATGGCATTTTTAAACATGAGCTTGTGTCAGACATTGTACAGTCTCCACATGGGAATGAATGTTTTGATTAAAAGTTAATATCTCTAGTTCCTTGGAATTCTGCCTAAAGCTGGAGATATTCCACACTACAGTTTTTGTGCCTTCTTTGGCTAGATTAAAAAATGGCTCAAAATCTAGAGGGAATAAATGGAATTCCAAAATAGTTACTTGACTCTATAGGTGTTTATGTCACAGAAGATACTGATGTGTTGAGAATTTGGAATTAGAAAAGAATGTTGAAATAAAGAGGAATGTGTTAAAGCAGCATCTTCCTATGGTCCTGTCACTACATCCACTGACCTGTCAGCCTTTCAGCTAAAATTAGGGTTTGAGTACTAAATCCATAAGGAAGGAGATTCTGTATAATCTGTACACAATGTTTTCTTAATTTGCATTTATGTTTAGCCCACGAAGGGTTAAGCCACATTCATTTAAGCAAATATGATATTTTAACTTTCAATATAAAATTACAGGGACAGATTCTCATAGATGTGCATTAAGAAAGGGAAAAAAAAATAACTATCCTAAGGATACAAATAGAATTCTGGCTCAGTAAGTTATTTTAGCTTCAGAGGTAATGATGCTTTCAGTACAATCCCTTCTCTTTATCATTCTTTTGAAGCCACATATTTACAGAGAAGGGAATTATTTTTCTAGCTTTCCAACACCATTTCCTACATTGAGATAGCGATATGACATAGTCAGAAGCTGGGCCCTCCGGACCTGCGCTGTGTGACGGCATTGTGCTACTACCATCGGGAGGTTCCATTTTTTCCAACCCCCAAGGCCCTGTCTGTACTTGTTTACAGGTCATCGGGAGAGTAATATGTGTTCAGTGGCATGAGTGTTATCATGGTAACCTTGGCAACTGAGCTAGCTCTGATTTCAAAACATCACATGCTGTATCATAAAATTAGATAACAGAATTGACATTTAGCTACATGCCTGTCATATAAATTAAGCTCTGAGAATGATTTTCTTTATGGCCATGCACCTTAATATGGAAGTAGAAGGCGCCAATTAGAACAAGTTTATACATATATATTCTAGTCCACTTTTAGGTGCTGAATACATTTCCTCAATTTTTCTCCATAATACGGAACCTCAGATATTGCCATATTTTTCTCCCTGTGCCAAAATTCATGGTGGCTTTATTTTATGATCAGGATGAAGCTTACAGCAGAGCTACATCAGATACCCTATATAAATAGGATTCTGAATAATAGAAAACTGAGCTCCTAAAAAGTGTAAAATTCAAAGCATTCTGTTATTTATGCTGATTAGAAGTAAGACTGTGCACCAAATATTCTACTAAATCAGAACCCCAAAGACATGACATGCTTCCCTTTCATTATTTATGAATATTTTTACACATATTATATTTTTCAGTATTCAAAAATCTTTATTTCAAGGACATTCTAAACATGCAGATTAACACATTCATCTACTTTGAGTCCTAGGTCCTCTTTTATTATTTGTAATTATTTTAATCTTCAGATTGTTTTCCTATATTTCTGGGGGGGGTGTGTGTGTGTGTGTGTATGCTCATGAATTACAGTTAATGTAAGCACCCTGCAGTTTTCTGCATTGCAAATGATTATTTTTAGATATTGTTATGATTGCCTGGATATATTTGTCTTCATTGATATATAGGAGGAAAACTCATTAATGATGTAAAAAAAAGGTGTTTTGATTAAATTTATCATAGGTTTTTTTTTTTAATTGAAGCAATTGTGAATGGGATTGTTTTCTTTGTTTTCCTTTCTGACAGTTCATTATTGGTGTATAAAAATTCAGCTGATTTCTGGATATTTATTTTGTATCCTGCTACTTTACCGAATTCAGAACCTGGAACCTTCTGCCCAGGTGGTGAATGTTAGGGCCTGGCTTTCAGTGTATGTTTCTGGTGACCATGGAACTTTAGCTGTTGTTCTTTGAATTAGTTTCTTCCGAGTTTCCAACATATACAAATCCCTTTATTCATTTCAAGCTCAAAAAATAAAAGAAGGTGTTTTGATTCATCGACTTAATTCTTTCCATTACATAAATGATAAAAGCAATACATTAACATCTAATAAAATTGTTAGAGGTTATTTCTTAATTGAGCTGCAAGATAGTCCTGAATCCTTGGGCACAACTTTTCCTATTCCTTGTACTCTTCTGTCTCAATGTTCTCAAAGTCATCATTCAGCATAATTTTAACATAGAATGATGATTTATAATTCTTATTAAAGATACCTTTTAGCAACTATCTGTCAAATACCATAATTGAACAACTGCTTCTAGAATGGTAAGTTATTATATAAAAATGGAAGATCTTTATGTCAAAATTGACTATAAAGCAATTTTTTCCCTATATACCTGCTATGTGTCACAAGTAACATTTGAGAAATCTGCTTCCAACATGTTCTCATTTTAGCCATCCATCTAACCCTTGCTGGTTTTTCCCTATATACCTGCTACCTTCTTACCTTATACCTAGTAAAGAGTCTAAATTCCTGAATATTAAGAAATAGATCAGTAGTTGTGCTTTCTACATGTGTGTGAAGAAGGGTAGAAATCCTTCTGTGCATTTGGCAACCTTGTTCTGCAAATACTGTTCCATTTTCAGTAATGTTTAAGCTGTTTGCTTTATCTCATTGGGTTGAGTCATCATGGCCTTTATGTTTTAACTGGTAAAAGGTAGTTTGTATTATTTTTTTATCTTGAAACTATTTCTTGTGATGAACAGAAATAGTTCAGCATGTTGTGGTTCCAGGACTGACTCAAGTTTGCATCACCATCTGTACTATACGATAACTTCACTGGGAGCTTTTCAATGCATAGGCGTTCTGTAGTGCAGTATGGACATGAACTCAGGCTGTGTTGGTGCTGGACTCTGGGGGCTTATCAGGCTGTTTGCATGACTCCAATATGTAATTTAATATCTAGTCTTTTTTTTTTCATTGTGACATAATTGGCATTAGATGGATGGGAATGAGAAGGAGCCATAATGATTAAAGAAAAAAAGTTAAAAGGCGGTACAGCTTTTTTTGTGATTTCCTTTTAGGTCCGATGTTGTGGTCCTCTGTTTTTCGATCGCTAATCCCAATTCCCTAAATCATGTGAAAACCATGTGGTATCAAGAAATCAAGCACTTTTGCCCCCGCACACCTGTTGTCCTAGTTGGCTGCCAGCTAGATCTCCGCTACGCTGATCTTGAAGCTGTTAATCGAGCCCGACGCCCTTTAGCAAGGTAAGCCAAGGTACTCAGTGTTTCCTGTGCTGGCCAAATTAAAATGTGGAGGTAGCAGATGTCTCTGTAGCCTAGAGTTCTGTTCTGTGATGGCCCTGGGACCCCATCCACCAACCACACGCTTCCAGTCAGCTTACTGATCAGAAGGGAGTGTGTCCCGACCCCTCTCGGGCTCCCCGTCACCTCTTAGGTAGGAACTCATTTTTCTAAAAGGTCGGCCAGTGCTTGAAGGGAATTCTGTAATTATGATGTGGTGTATAGAAAAGTGCTTTGAAATTTGTAAAGTATTAAACAAAATAAATGCTAGCTACTGATAATGTCATTCCTGTAATTATGATTATTATAATAAAGTTATATAAGCAGAGTCATCAGCCACAATTTTTGGCCCCAGGAACATCAGCTTCATACACATAAGCATATCCAAGGGTTTTAATCTTCTCGTTTTCCTCAATCCAACCTCTGAGAATATTTCATTCCCAAGATGACAGTGTCCAGCTTTAAAAATTGTATGTAACTATAGTTGCAAAACAACAACACTTTTTTAAATATCTCTAGTGATCATATTTTTAAAATGAACTAGTGATCACAAGTTTAAAAATCAACTCGATGGAGGACTTTTTTCACCCTACATAAAATGTGGTTACCAATTAGGGGGAGTATGGAATAAGAGTTTTCAAAATCCTATGCTCCTTTAATAAATGTTACCTTTATAAAAAATAATTTTGTTTTATGTCTAACAACATTCCTTTCTGAAGAGCATAGCTTTTTGAAAATGCTGATACTAATACCTTCCTTCAATGTTTGCTAATATGCTTGTTACAAAATTTTGTATGGATACAATTTTTTATGCTCTCACAGCAAAAGCAAATGGTACTTTGTTGAGAAATTTCTGTTGTTCTGGGTACATTTTGGATACCTTTTCTGAAAACATTTCATGTTAGATTTTCACAATCCTCTATTCTTAAGTACACAGACTAGGAATTGAATATTAGAAGCCACAGAGAAGGAAAGAAGACTGATGGTAAATGAGAGACCACCCAGCCTCAGAACTTTCTGGATAAAAGAATAGGTTAAGATGACCAGGCCTCACAACCACGGGCATGTGGAGGACTGGAGGAGTTACACAGTTCTGCAGGACGGTGGAATGGACGAGGCCCTTCTATAAAGCAGTTCTGAGGTTGCATAAAGGAGGCGATATTTGAGCTCAACCTTGAAAAAGTGTCCTCAGTTAGTGATCTTCCAGGCAGTCCCAGGAACAAGGAGCAAAAAATGCCCCCAGGAACAAGCCTTGACATTTCATTTTCTTCCCTGCACTTCCCTCCCACTTCTGTGACACGCTACAATTTTTCCTCTTTTCAATCCAGGTCTTCTCAAATCCAAACTCTACCCAGTATTACCTTATTTCCCCTAAGACTAGTGACTGTCGCACACACATTATCTTTGGACTTGAAAGCCAAATATTTATTTAGGAAGATCAATTCTTAAGAGTATGTCTCAAAGTCAAGGGTGCATTTGTCAAGAGGATGACAGATCACATCTTACCTTTGTTCCAGATTCCATCTGTGTCTTTGCTGTGGTTATGCAATAATCACAGAACTATTCTACTTGTACTGCTTCCAAAGGTTTGGCCTTCCTGGGTTTGATTAGATTGTAAATTTGTCTTATGTGCCCGCCCAAAAGATGTACAGTGTATTCCATGAGCTTTGTGGATCTGGAGGAAAATTTTTTTTGAAGAATTGCGGCTAAGTCACACTTGTGTTATGTAAGGATTTTTCATGCAGGAGTGAGAACTGTGGGCTAAAATGTGGAGAGTGTGAAGAAACACCAGTTAAAAGATTAATGCACTCATCCAGGCAAAAGATGATGAGGTCCTGACTAAAGAGAATGGAAGAAAAGGGAAGGGGAAAGATATGAAAGAAGATGCACAAATCAAATTATGGAAAACATATTGAGCTATTGGATATGGACCATTTAATCTACACTCTGACTGCTTAGTAGAGGTCTCTCAGCAACTTGCAAATGTGACCTCAGTCAAACCCTTAAACTCTCTTCCTCAGTTCCTTCAGAATGTAAAATGAAAATAACACCCATAGGGTTATTGTGAGGCTCAAATGAGAAAATGGACATGGATTCATTTGAAAGTTATAGAGCAAAATTTAAGCATAACATGACGATGGTGGTGGTGATGATAACAGTTAACATGGCTCAAGTAATAGTGGACCATGTACTGTGCTAAGCATATTATCTCATTTAAACCTCTTAACAGTCTTTGAAGATATAGGTACTCATTATTATTATTCCTCTTTTACAGATGACAGAACCAACACTTAAAGGGATTAAGTAACTTTCCCAGGATCAAATAGCTAGTAAATGGCTGTTACCTCAGTTATTGTAGTCACTACTGAAAGCATTTTTTTCCTATAGTCATAAGTCCTTTATGTTTGAAAGGCTAGAGGTTGGTAGTAAATTTTTCAAGAGCCTTATTAAAAGCCTGCATAGGACTTGAAATGTATAATTCAGTTAGGTCCTTAGATAGACCCTGGTTACTACTTTTTTCCTAAAATAAAGCTAGTAATAACTTCTTAAATATTCTCTTTCAGGCCCATAAAGAGAGCAGATATTCTGCCCCCTGAAAAAGGCCGAGAGGTTGCAAAGGAACTTGGCATACCATACTATGAAACGAGCGTTTTTGACCAGTTTGGAATCAAGGATGTGTTTGACAATGCAATCCGAGCGGCACTGATTTCCCGCCGGCACCTGCAGTTCTGGAAATCCCACTTAAAGAAGGTTCAGAAACCTTTACTTCAGGCACCATTCCTACCTCCAAAAGCCCCTCCACCGGTCATCAAAGTTCCAGAATGTCCCTCCACAGGGACGAACGAAGCGGCCTGTTTACTGGACAATCCTCTGTGTGCCGACGTCCTGTTCATCCTTCAGGACCAGGAGCACATCTTTGCACACCGAATTTACCTCGCTACCTCCTCTTCCAAATTTTATGACCTTTTTTTAATGGAATATGAAGAAACCCCAGACTGGAATGAAGTTGCTTGTGAGAAGGAGAAGCAGAGCAGTGATTTTCAGGAGTGGGCATCGAGTGTTGACCCAGATGAAGAAAAGGAGGAGGGCCCCCCAAGGACACCTCAGGCTGACCAGTGGGAGTCCTCCAGCCAGAACCTATTCCAACAGGAGCCTGTGAAGCTGGAAGCCGAGGCCTTGAACCTGGAGACACAGACTTTGGCAGGCTGGAGTAAGGGGTTTATTAGCATGCACAAGGAAATGCAAGTCAATCCCATTTCAAAGCGAGTGGGCCCCGTGACTGTGGTCAGGATGGACTCATCGGTCCAGCCAGGCCCTTTCCGGACCCTGCTCCAGTTTCTTTACACAGGGCAACTGGATGAAAAAGAAAAGGATTTGTTGGGCCTGGCTCAGATTGCAGAGATCTTGGAGATGTTTGATTTGAGGATGATGGTGGAAAACATCATGAACAACGAAGCCTTCATGAACCAGGAGATTACGAAAGCATTTCACGTCAGGAAGGCCAACCGGATAAAAGAGTGTCTCAGCAAGGGGACGTTCTCAGGTGAGGGGGTCCAACGGCCGTCGTGGATACCTTTGATTATGTTTGATCAAACATTAGCCACACATAAGTAGGTGAAAAGATAACTGTTGCTAACACATATGAATACTTATTTTTCCCTACTTGCCTAAGTTAGATATATTTACTTATGTAATTCTCATCAGACTTAAGGGCTAAATCCCATTAGCTCTATTTTTCAGATGGGGAAACTGAGGGACAGAGAAAGTTGGGTAACGTGCCTGTGGTTACGCAACCTGTAAGTGGTAGAGCCAGAATTTCAACCCAGCCTCTCCCCATGCAGTGCCATGAGATCACAAAGCTTCTGAGGGTAGGTGAGGCTACCCCGACCCTGAGCTAGTCGGCTTGATGCCTACAGTTCCCCTTCAGGGTTCGTTCCTAACCAAATCTGTTCTCCACTGACCCTTAGCACTGAGGGTCAGTGACAAAAATCAGTGACCTCTTGTCCTGTGGCCACTGAAAAACTGGAGGCAACTTTGGTGACCCTCTGCGTTCCTATCAGGAGTGCCTCATCTCTTTCCATCCTCTCTTCTTTTTTGTTCTCACACTCCTTTCTTGTTCCTTCTTTGTCTTTGATAACTATGTGTATCTGCCCACAGCGTCCTTACATAATTGCTTAAGCACGCAGGTGGCCTGTATCCAAGATGAATTACATAGCCATGCTTGTACTATTTTTGTTCTGAAGTTGTCCTCTGGGTGTGTGTGTGTGTGTGTGTGTGTGTGTGTGTGTGTGTGTGTCATTATTAAAATTTGACTTCCTGACTTCTGTTTATATGTATACTTCATTTGTGTCTTTATCTTTCATAATGCCTGCCATGATAATATACATTTAGTAAGTGGTTACTAAGGCTATTCATAAAGTTTAAAGCTTATGAGTAATATTTACTCCAAACATTGACCATCATGGTATAGAAGCAGTCTTGAAAGTTAATGGGAAAAAAAATGTTCAAACCTGCAGCAAATTAAGCAGTGGACCTTAACTAAAGTCGATGAAATCATGCTTTCCTTACCGCAGAAACGTAATGACCAAATGCAGTGGGGAAGCCTCAACTGAATTCTGTTTAAGAAAAAATAAAAGCCATAAAATACCATTTAGGGATAATTGGAAAATTTTTAATATGAACTAGATAGTGGGTGATATTAGGGAATTATTTTTAATTTTCTTAGCAGTAATAATGGTGTGGTTATCTAGGAGAATGTTCTTATTTTTAGAAACTCTTGATAAAGTAGTTAAGAAGGAATTGTAATACTCTCTGTTAAAAATATCTACATACGTATAAAAAGTACACACATATACACACATATTGCTGAAGCAAACATGGAACAATATTAACGATGAAATAAATGAATTGTTATATTATTCTTTCCACTATCGTAGATGTTTGAAATTGTCCATAATGGGGAGGAGGAAAAAACTACTCCTTTATGTTTCTTTACGGTTTAGAGAATTTGTGTCGTGACACTATGTGTGAGTGTTGACCCCTTGATCCCTGGAGAACATGCAGGGAGTTGGGTATGACACGGGCAGAGGCTGACAGACAATCACTAAGTACAGCCGTGGAAGAGAGAGTGCCAGAGATGCAGACCCATGAATGTGGGTGGAACTCTCAGCGAGCCTGGCTCACGGTGGTGTTTCCTCATTCCTTGGGCAGATGTGACATTTAAGTTGGATGATGGAGCCATCAATGCCCACAAACCGCTGCTGATCTGTAGCTGCCAGTGGATGGCTGCCATGTTCGGGGGGTCGTTTGTGGAAAGCGCCAACAGTGAGGTATGTGCCTTCTGAAATGCCAAAGCGATGTCTTCATAAATGTGCATGTGTGTTACGTATAAAGTGTTTCATTAGCCAGATGACTTCAATTCTTTAGCTACTTCCATGAACTAGTTCCTTAGGCAGTGCCTGAGCGTCAGGTCACCCTCTTCTTCATTCTGCAGTTGTGAAAGCCATTGTTTATTGTTCCCTTATCGTGTCTGAGCCCCTAAGCGCTTTACATGTGTGTCCTTTCATGCCCATAGCTCTCTTCCCTGAAAACATGACCAGCCGCACTTTTTAACAAATGTGCCCAGGCAGAACCCGTCTTCCTGAAGGTCAGGACAGTGAACGGTTTCTTCGGTCACATCCGAGGCCCAGCTCTGGCCCTGACCAGATGGGGGACCTCAAGAAACCACCTCTTTGTGCCTCATGCCCCTCATCTGCAAGATGAGGGATGCACTAGATTGCCCTTGAGGTCCCCTCGAGCTATGACACTCCCTGTGGTTCTGCCCTGACTAACCCTCTCTGAGGGTTCGTCGACAGTAGGGAAACAGTAGCAAAGCAAATGGTTACCCCTCTGGACACATCTCGCAAAGTGTTTCGGTCTAGTGAAGCCCCCGGTCACCTGTCAGACACTGGCCTTATCTCCGAAGGAGGGATATTCTTATAGCAGAAGAAGCTGGATCTTGCAGACCCTGTATCTTCATCTTTTTATAAACTCAGTTGGAAAAGAGAGGAAAATTTCATTCAAACCCTTCTAACTTTAGTCTAGAGGTGAGCAAGTGTTTTTGTTGAGTTTTTCAAATATTTTTTGACTATCTTTAAAAAAAAAAAAACACGGGACACCCCATCAAGTTTATTGTCGTAAGAGGCTTGTTTTGCTTATCTCAGCACCTCTCCAAAGTTTTAAAAGAAATACAAAATACAATGCCTAACTTTTCGAAAGAGATGCTCACACCAGAAATCTGAGCACCCCCATTGTGACCCAGGAGCTTGCATTTGCATCCCCAAGTAGGGAAACAGGATCCTAGAATCACAAGCCGATGGCCAGGGCAGAAGAGGAGGTCACTGGGCCACACTTCTGCTTCCAGAACAAACTTCAGCTGCTGGACCAACCCCCATCAAAAGGCTGTCTGCTGTTTGGAGAAAAGACACTAGAATACCCTGATGACCTCTCCCGGTATCTGTCAGCCATTATGAATCAGGAGCTTCTCACTTGTAACTAAATGAAAACTTTCCTGTGCTGTCAGAGGTGTTTTGGAGAGTTGCTACTGAGACTACTCCAGCTCGTGCAGGCTGCCCAGGAAAGGAGCTGGGAGGCTCAAAATCAGCTCCTCTATGTAAGAGCAAGGTGGCCTTGGGCAAGTGATCACCTTTCTGCACTCCAGTCTCTCTATCTGGAAAACATGGTAATAGCCCAGTGTGGTTTGAGGTAAAACAATGAATACTTGCAAAGCATCTCATAAACATTACATAACTGGTGGCTCTCATTAGTCTTATTTTGATATCAACAGTGTTGATTATATCCTTGCCTCTTCCAAAAAAAAAAAAAAATGTGAGGAAGCCACCGATTAGTAAAACTTCATCCAAAGAGCATTTCACTGACTTCAATAATCTCTAGTGATAAAGAGACCAGAAGCCTGCTCCCCTTGTCTTTCCAGCTCACTGAAAGGCCTGCTGATGGTGCTGTGGACAGCCTGCCTGTGATTAACCCAGCAAAGTTGATCAAGGTCGGGAACCCAGGCACAAAGGGACACTGGCAGAGCTGACCTCACAAATGCTAATCCCCTTTATCCCTTCCCAGAATGGACTGTAATTGTCTCCAGATTAAAATGTGCAGGAGAGGCGACCAAAACAAAAACTTGGCAGCGAATGTGAACACCCACATATGTGGCTGTTAAATAGCCTCTCCGGGAGGCCGCCCTTTGAGCCCTGCCCCCAAAGCCCCTGGAAGAGGAGGTCGCCCACCACTTAGAGCTGTAGCTGAGGCTAATGACAAGTATGTATAGATTCAATCCAACTCAAAAGACAAAGACCCTGGAACCAAGCAACCAAAGGTCTGTGCCAAAATTCCTCTAGCCAATATATGAAGAACGCCATGAGCGGCTGGTATTCCCGCCCTTTTTCACTCCTTGTCTTTATCTCCAGTATAGACTACAATAGTTATGTAGTTTTGAACTTCAGTCTCAGCTTGACTTTGGGCAAGTGACCAGCCCTCTCTAAACCTGGGTCTGCATCTATAAAATGGGGATAACAGGAGAACCTTCTTCAAAGGGCAGGCAGGGCATGAGAGTGGATATGTAAAGCATCGAATTTGGTGCCTAGAACCAAATGCTCAAGGGTTCTTAGTGCCTGTTATTCTAGAGGATTCTTGTTAAATGCTTACCAATGAGGAGTTAAAGACCTTTGTCCCCTAAGTTAAAGCCCCCAGTTCCCTTCCTGGTAGAGATGTTATAGGGGTAGGAAGAGCACTCAATGCCCAATAAACACTCCAGGAAACGCTTCAGGGTTGATATGGGCCCATGTTTGCATTTGGGATTTGTCTTCTCTAGGCCATCTTTTAACTCTGTTTTGTATTGTGAAAATGTGACTTCTCCAACAAAATTCAGCCTATTTTTTTGCATTAGTAGAATTTACTTGCATCTTCAGAAAAGAATAAAATATGCCCATTGATGTTACTTTGGGGTGTTTTTTTTTTTTTTTGGTCATTTAATATTTAAGAAGACACTATTTTACATATCTTTTTCTCATTACTTTTAATACAGCAGTAAGCATAATTCTCTCCCAGAGGTACTCAGCAAGTGGTTTATTAAAAATGCAGGCCTGGGTTGTGGTAAGCAATGCTCTGGATCTACAATATTTTCTCATTCTCTGGGAGACTGTCTCTAATTATAAGCCTAATAGTCTGAGCTGATCTTTGCAATTAAAATTTTAAACCAACTGAACTGGAATATGGAACGTTGTTTAGAGTAGCATTATAGTCTCTTTTATTACTTTTTTTTAAAGCTACATCAAGCAGGTAGAATGCAAAATTCTTAATTCCATTTCTTATGAGCTTTATTTATATTATTTTTAAAAGTTCTATAAAATGGTCTCTTTATAGTTATACAGTACATTATAAATGTTGAAGTTACAGACACAAGCTTTAAAAAAAAATCAACCATGAGAAAAAAAAATGTGTGCTATGAAATTGCTTTTAGTTTATTCTTATGTGCTGATTACTTCCAAAAGTCCTTAACATTATTTTCCAAAAAGAGCCATTACTTCAAAAAAAATATTGGCATCATTAGCAAGAAGAAAGCAGCAGGTCACAAATGATTACTAATGTCAGAACACTCCAAAGACATTGAGAGTATTGAGGCGAGGCTGCTTGCTAGAATCCGTCATCTCCTGCTGCCAGAAATAAATTTTTTTTTTAATTTAGGATGTCCATTTTGCCATGACTTAGAACCCACTCATACACACACACATACACACACACACACACACACACACACAGCTAAAGTCATCTGAATATCATCAAAATCCATGATCTCAGTGAAGAAGAAAAAACTTTCAATATCATCTATTCCAATGTCCCCCATGTAACAGATGAGTAAACTGAGAGTCCTACAGGGTGAATGATTTGTCCAATGTCATACAGCCTTGTAGTGACACCCCTGGGCCTGCCCCAGCCTCCTGCCCTGTCCTTCAAGCCCTTATTTTTAGAAGTAGCAGACACCTGCATCTCTGAGAGAGCAGGGCTTCACAGGAAGCTCTGGGACCTTTTACATTTATAGTTATTAACACTTTATAGCACTTAGCACTTTATATAATGTACTTTGTACTTTCTCATTCAAAATGGCTCAAATTTTAAAGTTTTACAACCTAATTAACCTTCAGTTACCTAGAAAATTGCAGTGATCCAAACACCATTCTAGAGAAATAAAATTTTGCTATCTTCTCATACATACAAAAACAAGTGGGTTTCTATAAATAAATTCATGTCTGTATAAGATAAATGCATGTGCATGTAAACATTTTTATGTTAGATTCACTAGAATAGCAATTAATTACAGTACAATGGCTTCTTTATTTTAAAATAATGTTAGTAATAGTTTCTACTTGCCAAGTTCTATCTATTGCAGAGATTGTGCTAGAAACTTGAAATGGTCACACTTGTTAAATCATTGATAGTAATAACCCATATACCTTAGTTATAGAATCATAATTGTTTGCATTGGCTATACAAGGGGGACCCAAAAAACCAGAATTATCTTCTGGAGGGCAGGCCCCTTGTAGTACAGGCTTCCCCCCACTAGGTGAGTGTTCTGGGAACCCAACTGTGTCAGTGGGCCAGCTGGTGTTGTTGTGAGAGGCTGCATTCAGCCTCAGTAAATATTTTTTTAAAACTCTTCCAGTGTGTTTGCCTATTTCATGATGGGTGATTTACAAGTGCACCTGCCCACACTGCACTGAGTGTTCAGCAGTTTTTGAGCAAAAATGGCATGACCCCTGTGTCCCACCCTCCCTGCTCACCCGATCTTACCCTAAGCGACTTTTTTGTTTCCCTGATGAAGGGAAACAGTTTGCCAATGTGGAAGAGGTGAAACAAACAAAAAAGGCAGAAGCACTAAAAGGCATCAAAATCGATGAGTTCAAAGCTGTTTTGAGCAGTGGAAAAAAGTTTTGATATGTATACTGCATCAAATGGAAAGTATTCTTTGAAGGTGGCTAAAATTTAAACTTATAAGAATAAATACACCATGTTTTATAAATAAATTCCAGGTTTTTTGGGTCCCCCCTTGTGTATAAAGGAGGGAGATAATTTTCTAAACATTTATAGGAATTTTTCTGTGACTTTCTTTTGATACATTAAGGGAAAGTTCTGTCTGAAAGGATATTCCCTTTCTGAGGTGGCTGGTGGCGGTGCGGGAGAATACCGTAGAAGGTTTCTATGGCGTTAACAATTCTGGAACTATACCACTAGGATGCATTGGATAAGAGCCCTGTGTGTGCGTATACACACATGCATAGATACATACATATATACATACAGAAAAAGAGAGCAGCATTGGATATGAAATATAGATGTAATTATATATAATTATAGGTTTGTATCTTTATATGCTGTATAGAGAATTATTAAATACCAGAATTAAGAAGTTTATAACTGCTCATTCTCTTGAACTTAGAAATCTAATTCATAAAGGCTATTAATGAAATGTGTTGTGTTGTAACCCAACCCTTTGCTCCCTTGCCATAAAGGATTTCTAGTACTGCACGGCAGTTCTGAACATAGACTTTAGAATTATACTCCCTGGTTGTTTCAAATCCCAGTCATTACTTACGAGCTCTGTGACCCTGGGTATGCAACTTAACCTCCCTAAACCTCAATTTCCTTATCTATAAAGTGGCAAAAATAATCATCTCTTCCTCCAAGGATCAAATTAGATAATGCATTTGGATGGCTTAGCACAGTACCTTGTGCAGAGGAGGCCTTCAAGTAAGGCTAATTTTTATAATCATCATCATTCCAATAGTAAACATCAGGGCCCCTTTCAAGCAGTTGGTGACCTGGAGTGAACAATAGCTGCTGTACTGTGTCTATCCCCATTCACTGATCCGCGCCCAGACCTCCAGAACTCCCTGGCTCTATGGCAAACTCCAGCATGTATTTATATAGGTAACAACTACGGGTACTCAGGAGGGAGATTAGGGAAATCCTACAGAGGATGGTTTGTCTTACCAATCAGCTATTCCCCCCGGAGTCCCAGGCGAGGATTTCTCTGGATTCTCTCAATCTACCGATACCTGTTAATATTCCAGTAGTTCTGAATCTATGTGGTTGTGCCACAGAAAAAATAATTGTGTGTATAACATATTAGCATATATTTGTAGAATGTTGGGTTCAAACCAGTCGCTGTGGCAACTCGGGTGGTCGCATATCCTCTGGTTTTGACATCTTAGAGAGCTGGGCTCTATCGCGTCGGCAACAGTGTAGTTTGCAGCTCTCCCCAACACCTGTCATGTTGCTAGGAGATTTCTCTCCCCACAATAGAGTATTATAAGGTACTTGGCAAGAAGGGCCCATAATGCCATCGTACATTTATAGCCCATTTGTCTGATTTATAAGTCCAAATAGCCATTTAAAAATTCCAAATCAGGCTTTGTCAGGCAGCCCCACTCTTTTGTCATCTACAAATCAAACTGTTATGTGTAAAGCTGTAAATAGTGAATGACTTCTATACACAGCCTCAAAGCAGGTGTTTCAGACTTGCCAATATTGAATCACACAATTGGGATATTTATAAACAGGATAGCCTGAAAATGTGCCCACTGCTTTCTTCCTCAGAACTTAGCTTTTCAAATAACATTTCAGGTGTATCTCCCAAACATAAACAAGATGTCAATGCAAGCGGTATTGGATTATCTCTATACCAAGCAGTTGTCACCTACCTTGGACCTGGACCCACTGGAATTAATTGCCTTGGCAAACAGATTCTGCCTGCCACACTTGGTTGCACTTGCAGGTAAGGCTGATGACTCGGGGCCATGCAGTATCCGACTGTCGTATTTATCAAAACCACATTTAAACAAAAATAAGGTTTCCAGGGAATGAAATCAATTTTTATCACCTGGTATAGGACAGTCTTGTAAAGGATGATATGAACTGATCAAATGTATCAGACAGCCCAATTCAATTCAACAAATATTTTTAAGCTCTTCCTTAGTGGCAGGCCCTGGTAGGTGATGCAAATATAAAACGATGGGTAAGGCACAGCCCCTCTCCTCGTGACCCATGTTCCGTGCACGCTGCCTCATTTGTGGACCACAGAATTTCAATGAACACTCTTGTGTCCATGTTAATCTTCATAATGTGCACTCAGACACAGTCTTTAAGAAAGAGGCAATAGGAGAAGAAGTAGTTAAGCACATAAGCTACTCAGCCAGATTGCTTAGGTTCAGGTTTTGACTCCAGCATTTACTGATGCCATACTTGACTTAACCACTTTATCTCAGCTTTCACTCTCTTTAAAATGGGAAAAATGGTATTCTACTGTAGAACTGTGGTGAAGATTCAAGAGTTAAGTATCTGGTACCTAGTCAGCATTATGTAAGTGGTTTTCTTACAGCTATTTTAGAAAATGTTCTGACATTGTCAAGATCATTTTGGGAAAAAGAAAAAAAAAGGGGGGGAAACTTGGCTTAACTTCACAAAATCTTATGTATCATTTCTAGATTTGTTCAGTTGGTAAGCTGAAGCCGGTCTAAATAGGATATATGCACTCAAACACCTTTTATTTATATTTAAACCTTCAGCTTCGTTCACCAGTGGTGTCAGTTCACAATCTGGGCGTTTATTGCTACATTTAGTTGACTCCTGTTAACCGTGCAAGTGGCGATAGTGCCTGTGTTGCTTCCTGGGCTGACCTCTGCACACAGAAAAGTGCCTGGGGATATTAGCTTCTCAATAAGTATTTGTTGAATCATTAAGTGAATGGAAATGAGTGTATGAACAAACCAACCAGGCATAGTTGTGTTTGATTTCTTGGTAATATCTTTTGGAAAAAAGATTTATTTCTCTTTATTTCTCCGTATTCCACATTTCTACTACACTCAACCAACAGGATAGCAGAGTCCTTCCCCACCCTCCTTCTTCCTCAGAAAGCAAGAGAGAGTTGAAGCATTGCTATCTGATTTTTTAAAAACTGTTTTTAACTAATACACCTGAATTCATAGGTCTAATGGAGTACGTACTGCTTCTTAAATAGTAACTCTAGGAAGCCGCGATGAGCAATTTCCTTTCTCAGAATATGTGTCTCAATCATTTGAATCTTCACAGCCTTTACAAGTATTTGTCCTTTAAGGATAAATTGGATTTTTTTTTAACAGTCAAAAGCAATTTGGAGCCAAATCCATTGAACAAGGTCTGTGATCAATCTCAAAGTAGTGCCATTTTTTCTTAAATATTAATATGGTTATAAAAACATGGACCTGATTTCTCCATGAAAGAAACTGACCCAAAGAAACCCTCTCCTATGAACTATAGACTTCTCTATATGTTTACTTTGTTATTAAATGCTATTTATTACTGTTATAATTATTTAGCATATGGCTTCCTAGGATGATTCTTTTAATCATTTAGAATGTTTGGTGTGTACTGTTTAATATAAATACAGAGTATTTAGGATAGTGTCGAAAAGCAGTTTCTGGGGTGAAAATGCTTTGCAAGCCAAAGTGTTGAATGAATATCAAGAAATGTTGCAGTTACCTAAAATTAAAAAGCCTGATAACTTCTCTGGGAAATTTAGTTCCAGATAGCTCTATGTCAACCTAGCTGAAAAACGGTGTACCAAAGAAACCACTGAAATCTAGATGCCTTATTGACCAGATAGAGGCACATTGACTCCCAAGTATTTAGAGCCAGAGCAGAAAGTAAGCATGATTGGGCAATATACTGGATAAGAAGAGCAGATGCAATGATATAGATGGGAAAAAATACAGCAACTTCAAGGAGCTAGAAATGCAGGGCCTCGCCTACCCACTCCTGTCAATCCCAGGGGCAGGTGGCAGCCTAAACGGAGGCACGACAGCTCAGTCTCGGAACCACAACTCAAATTCAACTGAGGAGCCTTGGGCACAGCTCCCAAGCAGAAATGGCTCTCCCAACTGGGGTTTTGTCACTTCTGGCTGATGGTCCCCCCACTCGTTAGAATCTAAGAGGTTGGACAATATGTCGCCCATCGGCAGCTGTGGAGACAGACGTATGCAGTCACATTTTTAATTGTGCATATGGACTCATTCCTGTTACTCAGCCTCTCCACTGTCAGAAAGTGCTGAGAATTAGAGTGCAGTGAGTGGGGAAACTGCCCGACAGGAAGATACCAGAGGGTCTAGGGAGGTCTAGGAAGGTGCTTTCTAGGGCAGCACTGTCCAAGAAAACTTTCTGCAGTGCTGGGACGTTCTGTGTCTGCCTTGTCCGATACCCATGCGGCTATTGAGCGCTTAAAAGTGGCTAGTGGTGGTTAAGGACCTGAATTTTTTTAATTTTATTTAAACTTAAATTAATTGAAATGTAAATAGTTTTGTGGCCAGTAGTTACCATACTAGACAGTGAAGGCCTGGAGGGAGGACTCTGCCTATTGAAATAAGCTATGAAATGTGCTAACAAGTGTCCCCAGAGTCTTTGGTGTAATGGCTGGAGACCAGAGCCCCATGCGCAGAAAGGCCACACATCAGAATGGGCCTTAGATTCAGTTAGGATGGCTTCCAGGACTGTATTCCCTACCTCCTCCCCTCTTAGGTGGCCCTGGACCAACCCCTCCAGGCGAGATGTCTGGCTTGCAGAGGAAGGTTTAACTTTCTCCTGTTTCTTCTCTCCCCCAGAGCAGCACGCAGTTCAGGAGCTGACCAAGGCCGCCATGAGTGGTGTGGGCATTGACGGGGAGGTGCTCTCTTATTTGGAGTTGGCCCAGGTTTGTAACACTTTGCTTTTCACCTTTTAAGTGTGTTCGACCGGCTCATTTAATGCTGATAAAACATTCCACTGTTGCATCTGTCTAAATAAAGCTGTCACCACTGAGTCACAGAGGCCCCTGTGTCCACTGCGAAGATCTGAGAGTTTTACATTTCATGCATCATTCACCCTGCTGGGCTTCCTTTGAAAAGACAACAAGGACTTCACCCCCACACCAGCCCCATTGTCCCCCGAGGCATCAGCTTCACATGTGGGAGAACAACTCGGGGCGTCCTAGGGAAAGGGCTGTCTCTCCTCTTTAAAATTCCGAGACGTGTGTTGGCCAAGATCAGTTTCTAGGATTCCATGGAGTCCCACTCGGCCCCACATCTCACTGCAGCTCCCCGGCATTTTCTAAAATCCGCACTTGTTAGTATTGACCACGTGACTCTGTAATCCCAGCACACACTCGTACTCTTCTTCTCTGGAGGGTCCGAGATCCGGCTTCAGCTTTGTCACCGAATAAGTTAATCAAGGAACAGAGATGAACTCTGCCTCAGTTTCTTTATCTCTAAGAAATGAGGATGGTAATTCACACCCTATTGACTTACAGATTATTCTGGGAATCAGGTGGGAGAAAATGTTCAAGAAAGAGCACTGAAGACTGGAAGCCCTCTCATTGTGCACGGCACATTAGTCTGTGCCGCGGATTACCTAGTCCCTGGCCTAAAATTATCAACAATGAGTTTACACTCTGAAGGAACTAAGGATAAATCTGTCAGTCTTTTCTTTGGCCTGTTGTCTTTGGCTTTCTCTGTTCCCTCTTGTCAGTTAGGGCAGGGATTTACTAAGTCTTAGGTCAGGCAATTTAAATCGATATTTCTCAGTCAAGAGAGAGGAGGTGGTTTCGGGGCGAGGAGGAAGGCACAGAGCAGGTGTTACTCGGACCACTCCAACTGTGGCCAGAGGAGATGGCTCAGGCTCAAAAGGGGAAAAGGTGGAATAAAACTTTACAGCAACCTGTTCAGTCTGTGAAGTGTTGGTAATCTTCTCCCTCATACTAGTCATCACTCTAGGCAATTATAGGCAAGTGAGAGAAATAGGTACAAGCACCTATCAGTAGAATCCAATGTGGAAAAACAACCTAATGTAGGTTACAATAACAACTGAGAATAGACGTCAGTTGCAGTAGGATCAGCAAGCCCCCATTGATTGTCCAATCTTGGAATTTGGGGTCTTTTAAACAGGCCTGGAGGATAGTCTGTGATGTATGCTCTGTCCAATCAGTATTCCTCCTAGAGAAGATGCAATGATGCAGAATATTATATAGAGCCAGTCCCTTTGAGCTAATGATTTGTAGTCGTGTCTCTCTGTTTGCATTGTGTTCATGCTCTGTTCCCTCCCCCACCCTGCCCACACATTCACCCTGCAAGGAAATAATATGATTAATACTAAGCTCTGACAAGCCTTGGGAGGACGAGTTTAAAATGCAGTCTCCCATATCTTAGCTCATTCATTAGTTCTGGTAAGTATTTAGCAGTCAGCTTGGTGACAGGTAGGACCCTGACTTGTTGCATTTTCTAATTTCCATGGTGTAAATTTCGCATCTGACCAATTTGAACAACATGAAGTCACTGAACTCAGAGTAGGTAAGAAATACGCACAATTGACTCTCCTGAGCAGGTGCAAATCACCTCCAATACACCACTATCTCAATCCTACTTTCAGAAAGAAATCTAATATCAAAAGCTGAAAGCATCAACTAAAAGTGCCTGTGATGCTGGGGTTGTGATTTTCAGAGAGTTTCTTGAGTTAGTTTCTAAAGACTTTGCCTTTTTTCGTGGCCTTTGGGCAGGGCCATGTGGGCCCCAGAAGAAGCCAGGCTGTAGGTTTCAAAGTGTCCTCTAATCCAAGAAACTTCAAGAGCAACAGACAACAGAATGGATGTCTGAGAAAAGGTACAGACTAAACCAGTGAGGGAAGGAGACCTGCCAAATCTGGGGAAGGAATGGGTAGTTGACTGTCAATATTTGAGCATCGGGCCTTTCTCAGTCACAGCTACCTCAATGCCACGTCCCTGAGCACCTGCTCAAAAAGGAGGGGTGGAGTGTTCAGATCCCTCCCCTCATGCCCCCACCGCCTGCTCTTCTTATGTAACCAAAGGACAGGTATAGGACAGTCACACATTCCACGGTCTCCTCTTTCGGATCTTTGGCCCCAGCAAGCTGAGCTCTGACATGCGACACAGAGTATTGTGTTGCCCAGGCTTCCTAAAACAGAGATGACATTGCTGTTTTCTGCTGTTGGCTGGTGCCTTCCAGAGGCCACAGTCACTTATCATACTAGAGGGCCAGGTGGCGAGGTGGGTGGGAGGGCAAGACGTACTTTAAACTCCTGATCTGATACAGTGATTATTTTTGGTGCGCCGATCACAGGGGATAAGGGAGTGGTGTGCCAAACGCTATCCTTGGCTTGGATAAGAACCACAGTCCAAGTCAGAACAAGGTGTTTACTGAATTAGTGTACAGGCCTTATTTCTGGGGCCCCTACATTTGCTTCCTGTTTGTTTGTGGCCCCAGTCTAGAAAAAAAGAGTCTGACCCATTTTTGGTCACTTCCCTGCAGTTTCACAATGCCCACCAGTTGGCCGCTTGGTGCCTACACCACATCTGCACCAACTACAACAGTGTCTGTTCCAAGTTCCGCAAGGAAATCAAATCGAAATCTGCAGGTGAGACTTTGGGGTCCCCACTTATCCAACTCTTATCACCTCTTACCGAATCGATGCCCTCCTTGCCCTTGACAAGGAGCATGGCCCACAGGCAGCGACCTTATGGAGAAATCCTGTGACTGGCTGGTGGTCACATATCCGTGTGACATGACACAGGGCTGTAGGTTGGGAATTCCCTTTAGAGGACTTTAAGCTTGTGGTTTGGGTGGAGTGGGGCTCACAGGGCCCTTCTGGGGAGCATGCTGAGGTTGCCAGCTCCGCCTTGTCCAGAGAGGCAGGCTGAGGAGCAAGCTTACACACTAAATCAAGTGGTCCTGGGTTCAGGTTCTCTGTGCCCAGCTCCATGACTTTAGGGCAAGGGATTCTACCTCTCAAAACTTCAGTGTCATGGTCTGCAAAAGACCTCAGTCACTGTCCCAGCATATCAGGTGTGGAGAGGCTATATAAGATAATCATATATGTGACGCTTTAAACAGAGAGCCTAGCACACAGAAGCAATCAGTGAATGAACAGCAGTGTGATCATCCACTCCTTTCCTTCACCAGACAACCAGGAATACTTTGAGCGCCACCGCTGGCCCCCTGTGTGGTACCTGAAGGAAGAAGACCACTACCAGCGTGTGAAAAGGGAACGAGAGAAGGAAGATATTGCACTAAACAAACATCACTCGAGACGAAAGTGGTGCTTCTGGAATTCATCTCCAGCAGTTGCATGAGGAGGAAGAGGAAAAAAAGTCAGTAATCCGACACACCATGTTTAAAAGCACTACTGTAAAATTAGTCTTATTATTAGTGATAAGATGTAGTTCAGGTTTCAGGCATTGATCCTCCTCCACTTTTGTGCATTTATCTTGGTTGGGATCAAAGCACAAGCTCACCATCAATGAGCCCGGACAAAAAGGGAAGTTGACAACGCTCACTGCATTCCTTAAACTTACATGTATATTTTTTTGTTAGAAGGCTTAATAAACCTCGGTCCGTTGTTTTGTTTCTTTTTATACAAAGGAAAAAAAAAACCCAGCTTTCATGTTTCAAATTCCAAATTGGAAAATATTTTTATATGGTCTCTTGTATTTTGTTGAAATGAAAATACTGTGTATTACTTTATTTTACAGGCCACAAATTAACCATGAAGTCACCCTGTGATTCTCTGTGCCCACAAGATCACAGAGCATTATTACATAATTAGAGGGTTATCCTTTTGTTGTGAAGTAAAGGGTTGGAATGAAATTCCCCAAAGTGCAAGTTAGAGAGTGTTTAATCTTTGTTCTGCCAAATAATACTGGTATAATTACCAAGTCAACTCCAAGAATGTGTATTTACAATATTTGCCGTGTTAAGTGCTAGTAATTGTATGGTTATGTGTGCCATGTAAAATATAGTGATATCAAACCCTCTGTTGTTTAAAATGTCTAGATTCAAGACGATAATCTTTATAAGCATTAGAAGGGCTTATTAAATCCCAGCACTATTCAGGGCAAACTCACTGGTGGACCTGAATACAAAAGCTACCATAAGAGCGTTGGTGTTTGGATTGCTGTGTTAGGGTGTATGTCTCTCAGCGTTCCTTGATCTTGCCATGCTTCTGCATGCAGATTCTCTACTGACTTGAATCTAGTTGGGTAAGGGCAAGGGTCCCCGAACTCTGTCCCACTGTCTGCAAGCTTGTCACATCTCACCACCAGAAACAAGCTTCCTCAGGTCTCTCACCTGCGGCCAACTTCATTTGTAAGACATTTTTTTAACTCTTCCCAGGGAAAATCCATGTTGCTGCAGAAATAGGCTAAGGCAGACCACCCACCCCTGCTGAAATTCAGCGGGGCCTGTGAAGGCACAAAGCTGGAGGCTGGGTGGTCTGGGGTCCCTGCATTCTCCAATGCAGACAGGAATCTTATTCCAAGAGTCTAGGAAATGGTGCTATTGTGAGTTCATTCTGACCCTTTGTCATTCTGAGTTTTCAGTGTTAAAATACAAAGTACTGAGCAAGGGAGCTTTTGAGAGGCAGTCAGTCATTGCTGCTCTGTAAATTAAAACTTTACAGCACTCATACAGAGCCTTTTAAGGTTCCATACCTACCATGGGATGCTGGGAAGCTTGGGCTTATTTTGTTAGGACGTCAACTTATTGATGCTAAAGGCTGTGGACTTCCCCCCTCGCTTTCAGAACTTGGAAAAGAGACCGTTGAGTCTGAACCCCAAGGTTGACAGTCATATGCATTTGAAACCTATCCAGATTATAGATGGGCTTTTATTACCAACAATGGAAACATACCAGATACAAGAATTTGGAGAGGCCCAGAAATGCATCACCCTTTCATTACAAGGGAGAGGAGAAGTAGAGTATGGATGGATGGTTGTAAATGCATTTGCTTTAATTTTTCATCAATAGAGTTGCAAATCATTAATGGAAGGAGAAAGGAGACAGAATGAGAGGATAAATGTCAAGACTCAGGAAGAATCGGCATATATCCTGTCATTAAACGATAGAGGCTGATTTTCAGTGTGTAGTCAGAGTTGAATTCACACAACCAAAGCTCCCATTTGATTGTAATCTTGCCAAAAATGTAGTGGACATATAAATGAACCTGGGGTATAAGCAATAATATCCACTAGTGTTTGTTATCAGCTACTTTAACCAAGTGGCTGGTTCATTTGGTTGATACTGACTATGGCCTTTAACCATGGTGGTTTTGTGTTTTTTATTTCACAAAAAAGCCAATAAAGTTGTTTAGCTATAAAATGCCTTCAGTTTTTGTTGTGTGTGTTTTTTAAAGGACTACCATCATTATCATGCATGTAACGTTAATGGCTTTTTTAAAAACTATCAAACATTAAAGGGGCTGGATTGTGGCAGTTTGTGTGTGCTCTTGTAACAAGGGAGCTTAAATGACCGACACCTTTGTCTTAGGTATTGCCCACCAAGATGTAAATAAGGGGTCTGGTTGTTTGCTCTTGGCTAATAGGGTTATGTCACTAGACATGGTACAGCACTGGAAAAAAACAAATGATGTCTCTACGCTAATGGACTTATTATAACCTGGGTTTGGGCAATTTGCCAGCAATTAAGTGAAAGGAGGCATTGGTGGGCTCATGAAAATCAATCTTTTCAGAAGCACATCTGAGAAAGCCTTTAAGAAAATGTGTAAACAATTTCTGGCCTTCTAGGTGGTGTAATGTTTACCCAAGCTCAGAGGGAAGAAGAGTCTCCAATGAGTTCTCATAGGGGGACTTTTCTGAATGGCAAGTTTTCTAAAACTTTATGGGAAGGGGTTGACAACTGAAAAAGAACTGCAGGAAGTGAGATTTCCAGTGCATTCCCATACCTTTTAAAGGTGGTGGTCCAGACCATGGCACCTTTTACATAATGCATACCAGTGGAGTCCTACCTATAGAAATTCAGTCTAAGTTTCTCCTAGGCCAAGGCCTGGCAAATCAAGAATTTCAACAACCCTATGTTGACACTGTGGGAACCACAAGTCCTACTGGTTTACAGATAAGTATTTTCATTATGAACATTCAAGAGCAAGAATTTAGTGTAGTTTCTAACTTTTTTTTTACATTTGCTTCCATTTTATGGTATATCAGTTGTCAAAAGTCAATTTTTCATCACGTGACATTAGCTAAGTAAAATGCATTCTACTAATCAGGGAAAAAACAGTGAATCCCAAGTTCCAAAACTATTTTTGAGTACAACATTTCTGAAATTCATGCTTTTCTGCAAGCTGAAGATTGACCAGAGTTTTGGTTGGTTTTTTTTTTGTTTCTTGAAGAATGTGATTATTGCATAAAAGATGTGAAGTTAGAAGCTAGCCAGGGAGAATGTGTTTGTTGTGCATGTGTGCACGTGTGCATGTGGTTAAGGAATCAGGAAGCAGCATAATGGGGACAAAAGGCTAAGAGCAATTTACAAAAAAGTAAAAAGAAGAAGAAGGGCCACTGACAGAAGCCAAGGAAGCAGAATTAAGCACTCTGAGCCACAGATGTGCTCTCTTTCTTTTAAAATGCTAATTTATAAGATTACTCTGTATCTCATGACTTTATTTTCAGATGAAGACTGTCCTTTTGAATTTCCATTTAGGCAGGTGATACATGCGACATGAAAAGGCACTGGTGTGGCAAGACCGGTGACCTCCTGGCAAAGCAACGCTTCAGAAGCAAGGCCGGTCCCTCCAGCTGCATTTGAAAACTCCCACCCTATGCTGCTAGTACCTCTATATTATTTTTGCTTAAACCATTTAGATGCATCTTTTTTCACTGGATTCATGGGCAGGTGCCTCATCAGTTACTTATTTACAGACCACAGTCTACAAAATATGGAAATCATTTGGGAGTAGATAACCTGGGTAGAAATGAATCAATCATATAGTTACATATGCGCAGACTGGAAAGTGTATAAACAACAGTAGGAAACATGAAGTGTCTTGCCAGTGATTCACCATTTCTCTAGACATGGGGCATTGCAGTAACAAAGATTTCCAACAGAATGCAGATGATATGGGTAATAGCCAGTGGTGGCCCCTGGAAGGAGTATTTAAATTATTTGAGTCTGAATACATTCTCAGTTTCAAAGACAAGACTTGTTATATTTTTTGCAGGTATTCAGTGAGGAAAGAACTTGATTTATTTCTCTCTGTTTGGAAGCCAACCAAATTTTTAGCATTTTTCTTATTTTCTCCCAATCTGATAAAAGAAATATCCTTTTGGCTTGTTGATTCACGGTAATCTCAACTGGGGTGATAATACCCACGAATGTTGAGTTTAACTGTGGTGAGAAAGGATACACCTCTCTAAGCTTTAGTTACCTAAAAAAACAGGAACAGGTTTCCACTGAGTTTTTGGTGCAGAATAAATGAGATGATTTAGGTAAAACACAGTGCCTGGCATGTAGTAAACATTCAGTAAATGAACCCATGTACTAAGCATGTTAACTGCCAAGGCAAGAAATCCAAGAGAGAGGGCAACACTGCATGTTACAAAATAGAACAAGGTGGTCTTCCCTGATCATTCTCTTAAACCAAATTCCAGCCTTGCTGCTTAGTGCTCCATAACTGATTAAAAATTAGAAAATAAGAGCTATGGGAAAGTAAAAGAAAATAAACTGGAGCAGAGGTGTCCAAACCTTTGGCATCTCTGGGCCACGCTGGAAGAAGAAGAGTTCTCTTGTGCCACACATTAAATACATTGTGATATGTAATCACAAAAAAAAAATCTCCTAATATTTTAAGTAAATTTACAGTTTTCTGTTGGGCCACATTCACAGCCATCCTGGGCTGCATGCAGCTCACGGGCCGCACATTGTACACCCCTGAGAGAGAAAAGGCAGGTAGGTGGTGGCAGAATAGAGGAAAGCGTGGCACTTTCCAGGAGGACAGTCCCGCTCGCTGGGCCTCCACTGTCTCTGTGGAAGGGGCTGGGCCACCCCAAGGCCAAACTGGGCTGAGCCTCTGACTCATTTGCAGTAGTTTCTTTTTTATTGCTCCCAATCATTTTTTTCTTGTTTTTCTTAAAAGTTGGATGCAGGTCTAGTTTGCCAGACTCTTCAGTGCTCCTCACTGCTCAGCACTGTCATCTTCAGTCAATACGAGGGCCTCTCTTTTTTATTTTTTCCTTCTTTTATGATGTCCAACTCCCATAATATTTTCAGTGCATGTCTTTAAATGTGTGGGCATCCTTCTATATTGTGTTGTTTCGCGTGTGTGGTCATTACACAAATGGTTTACATAATTTCATTCTGCTGCTTTTAATACTCCACACTGATTTTGGAAACATAGCCATGTTACAATATGTGCATCCTGTCTTTTTTTTCCCCATGGCTACTTAGTGTTCCTTAGACTGCTTCTACATTTTACTCTCCCATTTCACTGGTGATAAAACCACTAGTCAAGTCAAACTCCTTGGCACTACAATGAACTGTGTACATGCCCTGGGGTCCAGATCTGAAAAACAGATTCCAGGTCCTGCTCCTGAGCTGTAGATCAGAGCATCCTGAGGTGATGGACGTGCATGAGAACTCATTGGTGATTGGACTCTTATGAAAATCCTTCCCTGCTGCCAGCACGGAGTTGATATGATTCTACGGAATTTAAGTCATAAAGAATCTGAAAGTCTCTGACCAAGCCCAGGGCCTGGCTGTTCTCTGGCTTAAAAGAGGAGACACTGGGCTCTACTCCCTGCCCTCTTAGAGGCTTGGAGAGACATTTCCTGATGGTGAAAATTGTCAAATATTGGAATAAATTAGTCAATCCCATCTGGTCTTGGTATTTTGTGTCATCTGAGCCTCATGAAAGGTGAGAGAACAAGATGGCTTCTCAAGAGCCTCTTGAATATTAAGATTCCTGATTTTATGCCTTAAAAAAATTTCTATTGAGCTTATATGCACATCTATTGAATATTGCTAATTCTGTTATCTCACAAAAGAAGCCTAAAGAAAGAGTAACCTGTCTGTGCAAGTTCTGTAGATTGTTCAAGCTATCTGAGTCTTTAAGGTCCTTTTTGACCTTTAAATTTTGTAGAATCGTAACAACATGAATATAAAACTTGCCTTTCTTAGTTCCCTGCTCTGGGTGGTAAAGCACAGAGCAACACCACTTAATTCGTTAGATGGCAGGTATTAGGATCACTGTGATTTCTGTCCTAGCCCCAGCTCCACTGGGATTCTTGGACCTTACTGCCACCACAGCCATATATCTGAGAGATTCCTTTAAAAATAAGTAGTCATAGTAAGTGGCCAAATATCTGAAATTTCCAACTCTTAGAGAAATGGAGTTACTAATCTTTAAAAAAAAAAAAATAAAGTGGACTCTCTCCCAACAGATTCTCTGCTGCTACTTATCCTTGCTCTCATTTTGCTTCGTTTACATAGATAGCCCAGGTATGAGGCCTTGGTATGTTAAGACATACTTTCATGAGCTTTTTCAGTCTTAGTTAAATGTTTCTTCACTGTGCCCAGGGGGATAAATTGATGTTCCAAGTCCTGATACCAATCTATCAAAGTCCAAAATACTGATGTGAGCATCGTAATAGTAGTTCATTTAACATTTTTGAGGATATATTTTGGCCAAGCACTATGACAAGTGCTTTACATGTGTTTACCTATTTAATTCCCACAGCATTACCTTATGGGGAAGGTAATGGGTTCCCCAGAAGCAGACCCTGAGATAAAGATTCACATGCAAGTGATTTATTTAGGCAGAGCCCTTAGGCAAGATGAACTAGGAAAGACGAAGGAAGCAGGAAGGTGAGAAGCAAAGCAGGGGCGTACAATTTCAGGCAACCCCACTCTCAGCCTGGTCTCAAGGAATGCTCTAGTATAAACTGCACTTCAAAGCGTTCATGTCCCTGCACCAGTGGTCAGAGGCTAGTGCTGCAGGCAGAGGAGGGGTAAGGAAATAGCCTAAACTCGTAGGCATTTTAGGCTCTCTGGCTTTGGCGAGTTCGGGAAAGTGGCTCCAAGGGCGTGCAGGAAATCCTCTAATGAGAGTCACACATGTGGGCTCTTAAAGGTAATCAGAATAACACAGAAGCCAGGAAGGACACCCAGGAAAGCAAAAAGCACCCAGGAGCATCTAGGAGGAGCATAGACTGATCGGCCCACTAACTTCTGTTTTGAACTTCTGAAAAACAGCCTGGACTATTTGATGAGGCACGCAGATGAAAGTTTTGCGTGCTGATGAGTAAATATGGATGGAAAACATTGCATCTT